TTAACCGCTCGTTGTACGAGTATGTACATATGTGTGTTCATCTATAAGCTAAAAATAAGCATTGGTGGGCATACGAGTCACTAGTCGACACACAAGTCATACACACAATCACACACATACGTGTACATTGCAGTGCGACTTTTCTTTTGAATGTTGTCGAACTGCAATCCAACTGCGGTTATAGTAACAACTACAATCGCACTTGTGGCCACAGACGTGTGTTTACTATTGCCAGTTAAGCGGCAGAGTGTCAGATTGAGCGAAAGAGAGGAGTTAACAATTACGATGAGGTGTTTTCTCCCCTCTACCCTGTTCTATGCAATCAGTAAATTCTTGGCTTGTAGTATTACCACAACACCGGTATCTATAAGCTTGCCAAAGGCCCCCCCCTTCCTACCTTCTCTGCCATAAGAATTTTACCATTTTAGAGCCAATGTCTACCTGTCTGCTCGATATGGCTGGGAGTTGTTCAGCGGCTTGTTGCTGTGAATTTCTGCTCGCCGGTTAAAAATAGATACAATAGCAAAAATGGTTAAATGGTGGGTTGACTCCATACAATGGAGACTGGTGACGGTCGGACAGACGTTTGTTTCTTTCAGTTCGAATGAGTTGGCACAGCGACTTACTCGTGCGTGTATTCTTGTATCGGAATGTACATGTGTGCATACATACACATTTACAATTTTGTGTGGAGTTCGATATGTATGAGGATAAGCATCAATTTAACCCATTCTCGTTTCTAGGCGTTCATGTTGTTGCTGAACTACTCTCGCATGTAAAAGCAAAAATAATATTGAATTGTGTCGCGTCATAAGCCGGCCGGTGAACTGAAACAGAAAATTTGTACATATGTATGTATGGATGTATGTAGCAGTAAAATTATTGCGTTGTAAGTTAGTGGTTACAACATATCACCTAAGCAGTGATTGTTCAGATTTTTGAAATTCATTTGCACTACAATATAAGCGTTTAATTTTATTTTTGTCACATCAGAGCACTAGCAATAAAATCCCTAGATATTTACGATATGCTGAGAAATGCGAAATGCTTATGCTCCGATCTGGGCGCCGAGGACTAACGAGACGCAGATGAAGACGCCATAAACTTTCCATTACAACGTAATAGAAAACCTCCGAGTTAAAGAACTGTACTGTGCAAGCAATTCCTGCTACCTTAGGGAGTACCCTAAGATACACTAGAAGCTGACTCACCACACTGGTTCATCATAAAGGGAGTACTCGACCTCAAGGACTGCATTCAACACACTTACATCAACCGCTGCATAGGACGGCTTGCCGACAGGCATTAAACGCCATTCACTGAGAGTCCGTAAACACCTTCCTAAACCGTCTTCGATTGAACGGCATTCTCGCATTCCAAACACCACCTAGTGTGGACAAAGAGCCGGAAATTCGTGGCGCAACTTACACCTGCATATTGAAGTAGACTCCTATGATTCAGACTTGACTCCTACCTATTTAGACTTGACCCCGACATACTCAACGTATGTCCTGCTTGCAACTAGCCACCTCTTTCCATGCCCCCTAAAATCCACTCATTTAATCTCCCCTTTCTCTTTGGTCCGAACGCGTCTAAATAGTTCGTTTCCTGTACCTCTTCGTTAGATGACCTCGATGTTGTGATTAGAGGAAACTCGAATGGAATAATGGTTGTCTTTTTCAGCTCCAGCGATACATAAGAGAACAAATATTTATCCCGTTGCGGGTTAAAATGTCTTGACTGTGGCTATTGTTTCGAATTTATGCTACGCGCAGTACCGGCAAATTTACTGATGGAACATCTCCTCGAGAAGATTCCTCGTTTGACACTTCAGGAACTCTCTCTAAATCTGTTAGCACAACAATAGCACCAGTTCTTCGAATCCCATGAAAGTCGCAACAAATTCTTTGAGAGGAGCTTCATAATTTTTTTCTTCAAGGCATCTATCAGTGAATAAGCATTATCAAAGCGATGAATATGATTCAAGCTAAAGGTAAATCGAGTTCTAGACAAGACGAGAATTCCGGAATAAGTGGATTTTTTTTAATACATACAAGAGGATTAACAAAAGCTCGATCATCGGCATTACATTATGGACCGACTGGCCCAGAATCTCTTGAATCTCTTCATGTTCTTCATTGCGGCAGAAATGGGCCTCATTGCTGAACAAACTTTGGCTCGATAACCTTAGATTTACTTGAAACTTTTTAAGAGCCCATAGAGCTAAGCGATGTCGCTTGGGAAGGTTCTTGCACAAGCTGTGGTTTGTATACTTTCAATTAAAGACCAGGACTTAAATTACGTCAAGTCGTACCAAACGTCGTACGCTATGTTTTCTTCAGTCCGTGAGGGATGTGGTCTATTCGCTCGAATATTAGCTAGCAATGAATGTTGGGTATGTTGTTGTTGTTGTTGCTGCTGTTGTTGTTTTTGCTATTATTATTATTATTGTAGCCGCAAAAATATTTCCCATAGTACTTTTTTGGAAAATGTTGCGGGAGCGACAGTCCTTGGCCGGATAAAACACCGTGACGTTTCGGTATAAAGACCCGACTGTCGCGGGGAACTATTGGATTTTAGTCGCATGTCTTATCGCGGGTAAATTCTTGAACACCTAACCCTCAGGGGTATGAATGCTGGGTCTCAAGATGGGTGATGGACTTGCGAATAGTACGCTCAGTAGGCCGATTACATTGATCATAAGTTGAACGAATGTGAATTTTCGTAATAAACTTGAACGATTTGTAAACGTTGTTGAGGCGTAAGTCTTTCCATGATAAAATGTCAAACATTACTGAACAAAAGTAACATGACAGCTTGACACGACTCACGCGCGATTTGTCAAAAAAGGCTATTGAAAAAGTGCCTCTACTTGGATCAGCCGTTAAAAGGATTTAGCTTGCTCTTTCATATTTTGGCTTTGTCTCCAATTTCATGCAAAAATAATGAATTTATTTTTACTACACCTAATACTTGTTTGACATGCAGTTATTGTACATATATGTAAGTAATAGTTGGCTGATCTGGTCGTTCCTCCTTCTGCTTATTGGGCAATCTCTTCTGGTCCTGGTCCAATGCCGGTATCATGCTCATAAAAGGTAAAAAAAAAATCAGAAATTGTATTTGTTTGCTTTTCGTTGAATTTTTTTGTGTAACAAAAATCATTAAAATGGGGTTTCAATGCCCTAGAAAAATGCAATCACCATTCACTTTGGAAAGTAAGTACTTCTAAATAATGACGAGGAATTGTGACTTTATATTCACTTCAATTTATGTGCCGCCAAAAAATGAATTTATTGCGGTAAATGGAAATCGTGATTTTCATAACAAATTGATCGTAGCAATGAAAAACTGAAGAGTTGAAAAAAGAAGCAGCAGAAGTCAAATTGCTGCTCCAGTCTAACGTCCAGGTATGTAGGTAGGTCACAGTCGGCAAGCATTGGGCATATGAAAATTGTCTGTATGAAAATATGAAAAGAAAGGCTGACAAGAAACCGATCACAACTTCATGACGACTTTCAAATGTTTTTTTTCGTTTTTGTTGTTGAAGCATTGATTATCCATTTTATTGTTTTGGTTTGTTTGCTTTCAATTGCAATGACAACGAATTGCAAATTTATGATTGGGAATATCAATGATAAAGCGGAAAAAAGAAAAAATAAAAGGATGACTTCGTCGTACGACAGTTTGGCGTTTGGTGTGTTTGGTGTTTCTATTAATATTATGGTAAAAAGGTGAAAGCGTAAGGAAATCATAACATCATCTTGCTGTGTATGAATTCTTTCTGCTTGCTAGGGCTTTTACGTGCTATATTGGCTTCATTGAAGCTCTCTTTCGGCCGTCACTATACCCGGGTGGGAGTGAAGTTAACGCGATTGCAACATCAACACATAGCCAGAAGTAAAACTTAGGCCAGTAGTCTGGCTTTAGAGGCTTCGAAAAATACATTTTTTCTTCTGTCTTAAAATTTTCAGTGGCCAGTTCGATATATTTTACAAGCTAGAGCTGTTTTAGTGGTCGAACATCGAGTAGGTTTGAATGCTCCGGCAGAACTTTGAAGCGCGTTTTCTGCAGATTTCATTTTTACAAAAGAATATATGTATGTATGTCAAATGGAAAAAACAAGGTGATTTAGCTTCAGTATTAAATTAACTTCTTTTTGAGCTAAAAACGTTCGACGAAAATACAAATTATTTAAACTGTTTGTTTTGCTACATAAAGGGATTTTTTTTTTTCAAAAAGGTGAATTAGTCTTATAACCTTCGAAAAAATGTGGAATTTTTTAACTTTTTCGGTATTTTTGTTTTTTTTTTTTTAGTTTATATCAAGGCGAATTTATAGAAGTTGAAGTTGTCACATCTATTTCCGTAAATTACACTAATAACATACCATGAGAAATATGTTTTGACATTTCGAACGTTCGTTTACACAAACAAAATACATTGAACGATTTTCATTTTTGACTTTTCGAATCTATGATTGCACAAACAAAATACACAGGCTTTTTGTTTGTATTCTTGCTACTACCATGTGTGAATTCGAATAGGTTAATTTGGAAGAGATACTCATAAAAATAAAAAAGGCTCTACTGTGTCAGATGCATGGCACGAACTCCATCACCGGTTCCGTGTCAGGAGCCCTGACTGCAGCCGCTTCAGAAAACTCAGCTCATCATTGGGAAATCCCAATACTTTTTTGAAACTGAAATTTGTTTTTTGAAGCCTGAATATAAAAATTTATTGTTTGAGAATTTCATTCCTTTTCAAAAGAATTGTTCAAAAAACGCTTTTTTCGGGTTCTAAAAGAGACTACTGTCTCAACACTATCATTAAATCCCCGCGTAGTAATCGAGGAGGCAGCTCCTAATCTCCTTAATAAGTCGATGAATTTAATTGGCAGAAAAAAAACTAATTTTAAAACAATAAAAAAAGTTAATTTTAAAACCATAAAAAAACAAAAATATCTTTTCTTAACTTCTACCTTTTTCTTTTGATTTTCAGAACTTCTTCAGACTCCATCGTTTACGCAAATTGGGCTTAAGTGATAATGAAATAGCCCGATTGCCGCCAGACATTCAGAATTTCGAGAACTTGGTAGAGCTTGATGTTTCACGAAATGGTGAGTACTAATATGAATATTCCTTTGTATCTATTAATTTGGAATATAGGAAACCTATTTTCCTTTTGTTGATAAATTATGTTTGAAGATTGTTCCATGCAAATGTTGACCATGACTGCGCTTCAAATGGTCCATCCGCTTAGTCCAACATTTCGGCCAGTATCTCACGAATAAATGCTTCAATATTGTCCTCCAATGCGTCAATTGAAGCGGGCTAGACATTAGATTTAACATTGTCCCGCAAGAGATATTCTAAATGCGTTAAATCGCACGATCTAGGCGCCCAATTGACCGGTACCGTACGTGAAATATAATCTTCACCGAGCTCGTCTCTCCATAAGTCAATTATTACGCGTGCTGTGTGGCCTATGGCAACGTTTTGTTGGAAGCACATGTCCTGCAAGTCAAGCCCTTGCTTTTAGGGCAAAAAAAGTTTGATATCATCTCACGGTAGCGCTCAACATTCACAGTTACGTTACGATTCGCATCATCTTTGGGGAAGTACAGTCCAATGGGTACAATGATGCCACCAGCCCATAAACCGCACCAAACTGTGACTTTTTCTGGATGCATTGGAAGCTCTTGCAATGCTTCTGGCTGATCTGCTGCTTATTTACGCACCCAATAATTTGCAAGCGTTGTACGTTTGTAAGACGATTCATCGTTAAATTATAGACCAAACTGAAGATGTTTGACAGTGATAAAAAACACGAAACGTGCGTCAGCTGTTTAAGCCAGTGTTGCCAGTGTAATAGCTAACAAATCACCCTTTATTTGAGCTCTAAATTCTTTTATCAAAAATAATCAAAAACTTGAAAAACAAGTTTTTTGGTCAATAATAAGGATAATAACTTTTTTTTTTCATCATAAATATTTACTACGCTTTGGGTTTAAAAAATATTGGGTGTATGCATTAATTTGTGCGATTTTTTCCAAAAATTAAGGCTTTATTGTGAAAAAATGATTTTAATCGTCTGGAAACGGTTGCTTGATCAACTCCTAATACTTCTGCAAGTTCATGCATTTGTGTCGCGTCTTCAATTCTTCGTCTTGAATTTCTTTTGGCTGTCCGTCGTCTAAGTCGAAATTGCCACTTTTAAACCGTGCAAACCACTTTTAGCATATTCGTTCGGCTAAAGCATGGTCACCATGGTATTTTACCGAACGCTTATAAAATACGATGGCTTTCGGTAGCACTTCACAAAAACTCTTTATCTGGTAAAAATTTCGACATTTTGAAATGAATGAAACAAATTGTTGTTCACGCTAAAACAAATGTCAACTACTGTAAACGACGCGAAATGACAGTACCTTTGAAATGAATATAGCCACAGATGAACTCGACGCGAAATAACACTAGTAGAGCCCTCTCTTAGAAAACCTCTTCAGTTCAAAGTTATTTATTTTTTTTAGTTTTATTTTTCTGATCACAATGAATCGCACAAAGTGTCATATTGGCTTTCCAATAACTGGTAGATGATAAAATCTTATAGTTCCAAGCTCATCTTTAATTTGAAAAATTAATAATTATTAAATATTGAAACTTTTTTTAAATCGCTTATGAACGATTATAAAGCGGTTGTTTTGATAAAACTCATAATGACTATAATCCCTGGTTTTGATCTGTTTGAATTGTTCGGTATCATAACTTTTCACTATGAATCAATTCATTTTATAATTTCCTTCCATATTTGTTTGCAATTACATTGCAACATATATGTCTTCAACTTTCTTCTACCCTTCATAAATACATTTTTCTGATTATTGTTTGTTCTCTAAATGTAGCTGCTATCACTGCTATTGTTTGAATATTTATAAAAGTGCTCAGCGAAATTGAATTAGCCTCCCCTCTCATAGGTATAATACATACATATGTGTGACGTCAATCTATTTGGCAGGCTACTAACCCACACTGCTCTTGAACATCTTAATTACATATTATTTTACCTCAAAAAGCATTGTATGCAACTGTATTGCATCCGCATTGGGATATCGGGGTATCAATGTGCCTTACATCAGTAAACAGTTGTGCTAAAATTAGTTGCAACTCGCCTATTGATGAAGTGCAGCTACAAATGCAAAAAATTAACGGAAGAGGATAAACATTTATGTAAATGCCATTGGAGCATTTCAGGGACAGAGTTAATCAACATAATAAAGACAACTAATGTAAAAGCAATCTAGCAATAACAAATATCTATTTGATGATGGAAATAGATACAAGGTTATGTAGCATTCGCAGGAATAACTGATAATAATGATGACGTAGAAAGATGGCGGCAAGCAAGTATAACTACAAAGAAAAGTCATTAAAGCTAACAGAAACCCAGTGGTACGCTTGGCTTTTCGTTAAAAAACTTCAATAACATTTTTTGTATGAGGTCTCATCTATTGTATATACATACATACATACATATATATTTATAATATAATACAAGCAGACTCGGCTACACGATACCGTAACTGCCTGTATGTTGTCCATTTTATATTCTAATTGATTTGGCAAAGGGCGACTAAAATCCATAATTAAACTTCATCCAATTCAAAATATTATATTATACTATGTATGTATTTGCTTGCTGTCTTCAATTGGCTAAAAGAAGAAACAAGTACCGCGCGCTTGTTAAGTCGGCTATAATCGCGGTGTTCACGCCCATGAAAAAGTGAAAGATTATAAATATTATTGAATAAAATATAAATAAATATTAATTTTACTCAAAGTCTTTCATGAATGAGTCGAAAAGTTGTGACCACGTGAGCCTTACATCGAGAAGGTTTCAATTTTTTATTTCTTATTTATTACAAATTGTAAAATTCTCTTAGCAGAAGAAGAAATTCCTCAAATTTGGTTACCTTTTTCGGAGATGTGTTAGTTTTTATATTAATTTTTTGCCAGCTGAGTGGCTTCGTACATACTACTGTGGGCAAAAAGCGTTTAATATTTCGGGTTAATTCTTTTTTTTTTAGTGTTGGTAACACTGTTATCGACATCTACATCATGTCAATGTCATTATTGGTATTTTAGTTGCGCTTGTGTTTACTAAACGGCTTCTGAAACATTGAGGATACGCTTGCAGCGCTCGGGACGACCATCAATGTCAACTCATGTGCAACACGTGAATGAAATTAATGAATTATTGCTCAAAAATCTTCGATTGACTGTTAGAGACCTTACTGATATGGTTGGAATATCAGAAGTATCTGTAAAAACGATTTTGAACGACTATTTGAGCCAACGAAAAGTGAAATCTCGTTTGGTTCCAGGAACACTCAATTTCATGGGAAAAAGTCGTTGTGTTGCTGTGTGTGGAACCATGCTTTCTGATTACCAGGACAAGCTGAAATGCATCATTACAATAAATGATAGATAGGTAAATAAGGAATATTATTAAAGCGTTATGCGTCGTTTGCGTGAAGCAGTTCGCAAAAAAAAGACCAGAATTATGGGCCAATAATTCTAGGTTTTTGCATCACGAAAATGCAATCAATGCAATCATTCTTCGTAACCCATTCCGCTAAAACTTCCACGAATATCATTCCCCAACCACCGGAATTCGCCGGACTCAACACCATGTGTCTTCTGGCTCGAAAAGCCCACTTCGAGAAAACCATTTTGAGTCGATTGAGAAGATTAAACGAGAATCGGGGCGTTCTCTGAAGCCCATACCAGAACGTGACTATTTTACATGCTTCGATAATTGGAAAAAGCGTTGGCATAAGTGTATTGTATCGGCAGGGAACTATTTTGAAGGCTACGAAATCGCCGACAGTAGTATTGTATTATATAATAACACTGAATTTTGTGTATGTTCTAAAATCTAGTTTGGGATTCATTGTGACGTCGAAGCCAAAAAAGTGTGTAAACTCTTCAAGAATGTAATATTGTATCATTTGGTCGAAGTAATGAGAATATAATATTACAGAAACACATGGTTTATTAAATTTGGTCTGAAGTTTGTAGGTTAGTATCAGAGCGAAATTTAAACCGATCGGAAAAGAATGACGATCTAAGTTTAATAAGCCCTGTCCATCTTTTCGTCTTTAACCTCTCAATTTTGGTTTATTTTTTTTCAAATGTATTTTTATATCAGATCACGCAAATGGCGGATTCTGCAAGATTGGTTCTGATATGTGGTTTTGGTTAAAAAAAAACCGACAAAAATCAACTAAGAATGGGAAATTTGATATTGGTACGGCCAACATACAGAAGTTATAGTAAGTAAAATTTAGTTAAATTTTCTAATTGCGGCATGAAATAAAAATGTCAGAAGTACACTCAGAGGACCTTCCCTGTGCGAAGGACATTCCCTGCTCCTCATAAAAAACTATTAGGCGCTCAGAGGCGACTTTGTACAAACCGTCGGTCCCCTTCATTTTGTAAGAGCTCGGCCGAAATTCACTGCATTTTGTCAGTTTTCTCAGCTTTTGTCGCGCATACAATAATTTGCTATTTCCATTTTAATTTATTTACGAATAATATTTGAAATAAATTTTTAATTATTTTTATTATATATTATTTTTTTTAATATGCTCTCGCCGCCTTATGCGCTCCCCAGCATAGATTCAAGGGCTCATATTTCATTCTACCGTCAACTGTAAAACGGTATTGTAAGAAATTATATTCAATCACTAAATTAAAAGTAAAAAAGAGTTATTTATAATCCTGTAAGATATCGAATTAAAAGATTTATTGTTCCTGGACTCAGTCATCGCGAAATGGTTAAAAAGAAATTGGCAACTATATTCGCAATTATCAGCAGAATCACCTCAAATTCACATCGTTCTGCTGCCAAAATCGGACAAGATTGTGTTGCTGATGTAAGTTTGGTCACGATAACATCCGATGAAAACATTGAAGCAGTGAAGAAAACGATTTTGGTTAATCGTCGAATCACTATCAGAGAAGAATAAGGAATACTATCTAGAAGTTATGCACCGTTTGCGAGAAGCAATTAATCAGAAACGCACAGAATTGTGGAAAAACAGTCATGGATTTTGCA